CTCTGCCCATAAAGATGTGTGAAGATCTCTGAATATAGAAGCTTATACTGGAGTCCTCAAGCTCAGAGTTACCCATGTGACTCAGTCCTAGGGGACTTCAGGGACCAGCATGAGAGAGTCCACTCGTGGCTCTTTACTGATTCAGATCATAGTGGCCAAATAATCAAACATTTGAAATATAAATTTGATAAGTTTCAAAAAGGAAATTTGAGAAAGCAAAGCAAGAATTTTTTAAAATAACATTTGAAAGCCTTTCCCATCATCCTTCTGCTCTAATATTCTGACAGCATTACAACCAGTATAACCTGGGTGAGGATGAATGACAAATATTGATTTTCTGTGGCCAGCCTAAGTGGGATAGAAAAGGAAATGAAAATCTTTGTAAATAGATTCAGGAGTCTTGTTTAGGAAATTATTTGTGTCATTTATTAAATGTAATGTGATATATCCACAACATGACAACTAACTATATCAACACTTACTAGAAAACAAAGCTGCAATGCATTTTTCACATTGACAACATACTCACAGAAGGTCAAGGACACTATGACAGTAAGTCAAAGCGATCAGGCTCACAGAATACCAAGGGGAGCGTTCTGCACATCTCCAAATTTCCTGTGTTGTTATGCATTGGGAATCATCTGGCCACGCCATGATTTTTCACTTTTCAAAGTCCTCCTAAACTCTGCTTTTCTTTCATCCAGTAATTAATGCATTAGATCCAAATATAATGAGTGTATGTCATTGGGAGGGTATGAGAAAAGGGTAGGATGACTGAGCCTGTGTTTGGCTGTTGTGATTTTGCCTAAGCAAGTTATCTGGCTTCCCACTAAAAAATCACTGTGAAACTGCATCTTACTTCCTTCATAGGAAAATGAGCAATCCAGGAAGGAATTATCTCTACAGGCCACTCCCATGCTTTTAGGGTAATGAAAGACTAAAATATCCAAAGGAAAATAATGAAAATCAAATGAGTATTTGCCAAATAACTTTATAAACTTTATAGTCATTATATAAAGATATAAACATTTACATAAGAATTACTTTTACCTGGTGGTTGATGCTTTTGTTTAAAATAATATTGTTGTAAATGTGCATGTGAGTCAGGAGAAATATAGTAATATATTGTATGCACCACCCTTTGTTGTTATATTGAAAGATATGTTAAGCTCTTGATCTAACTAGAATACAAGACTCTTTGGAAATAAATCATATGGCTACTATTTACTTTTTTAGCCATGAGACTAAAATGAATGGCAAATTTGATCTCATGTCAAGTGCATTTCTTGCTAAAGCGTGATCCTTAGAATTAGTATTGACATTTATCAAGGTCATCATAATCTTGAATTAAATGCTTCAAAAGCTACATTGAGTCTGTATTCTCATAGTATGTGTATTCAACAATTTTCATGTCAAACTAGTTAGTCTAATATAACTGAGATCAAAACAATTGACAGAAATCCAATGATCTGTCAACTGATTCAAGGAGATGTGTGAAACATCCAAATGTGATCGTTAGCTTGATAATTAAATCCATGACTTGCTTCTTGATTCACAAAATGGTAAATAAAGAGTAATAGTGCTGCTTTGAACCAATCCCCATTCTATACTTAACATAAGCCCTATATTATATTATTAGGTAGTAAATATGTACTAAGTCAAAAATAACTTCTGATCAATATTTTTCAATTATGACCTACCATAGAACAATTGTTAATGTGCCTTTTCATTAGTTTGTACCTTAACTACATAACAGTGTGAAACCTGACCGAAGCTTTCCACCTTGGTATAATTTCTGTTTCTTTTAAATCCCACCCTTCCATTTCCAGTAATGTAGGGTTACTTGCCAAACTAGCATATTTTCATTATCGATATTAAGTTATTTAGCTATATTACAGAGGAAGCTATTAACATTTCATTTTCCTGAATACATTTTGTGAAACTTAAAAGACCGTTGTAAATTCACATATGAATATGGCAAGCTACTTCTAGCAAATAAAGAAGCATAAAGCAGTAAAGAGATACTACAAATAAACAGTAATTAAAAATTATCTGCAGTTAAGAGTAAGACTATGAAATGCATTATTTTCAGGAGCTTAAAATATACTTGATAATTTTGATTGTGCCTTAAAATGAAGATTCTTTGCACAGGTTGCATAATCCATTTACTAGCCTAACTTGTCAGCATATTCTTTAATGTCATCTGTATTTATGCGGAAAGTACTGCCACTAAAGTGTTTTGCTCATGTTAATTGATAAAAACTGAATACTTCCCTTTATACTATCTCTTTTTAAATATAACATACTTACATACCAAATTCATTTAACTTTAAGTAATGTATTGGCCAAATACTAAATACATTAAAACATGGTTTATTTACATGTTACTTTATTTGCTACATTGCTGACACTAAATCTAAGAGACTAAGGTTAATATTATGAAAATAAAGTGTTATGTCAAAAACAACTGACAAAAGAGAAAATAGAGTTAGAAATCTCACCTAAATTACAATAAAATAGGAAAAAAGTAATAATTTTATGATAATTTTATTTCCTCACCAAATAACTGAGAGAATAACAATGTATAATGAAAGTGTTTTAATTTAAGAAATTGCCTAGGGTAAAATATGACAATAAAGAAAAGTTAAAGTAAATTTTTATTTCCGTAAAAGCAAAAGGCTTCTAATAAAACAAAAAAAGCACATATGAATTTATGATAATTTCTATTAAGTTTCAAATATATTACCTTAATAACATAAAATCGTCTTTAGGTGCTGTTTAATAATATTAAACCACTTTTAGATTGTTGCAATGTGTAATTTTTTATATATTAGATAGATCACAAAGGTAAAGAAATAACTGCATTAATGAAACATGGTCTGAATATTTAAGTTAAAAAAATTCTCAATCTAATATGCCTCCACTTCAGCTCGCTTCCTCTCTCTCTCTCTCTCTCTCTCTCTCTCTCTCTCTCTCTCTCTCTTGTAGTCTCTGCAGTAAAAACTACCATAGTTATCTCATGGAGATAGCTCACACCGACGTCTGCCAGTGGATAACAGCAGATGCTTATTGAGAAAGGGTTTATCTACATTTCATCCAAAATATGTGAACCATTACGGAAATTATAAAAAGCAGCAACAATACACTGGTTTTATTCAGAACCTTTCCCTTAGTGATTATTAAAAGGATGATATTTTTAGCCAAAGAAAGCAACATGCATCTGCAGCAGCTGGTTTCCAAGGAAACAGAATAATTTAAAAGCATGTGGAACTCTGCTCTCTCATTTTCATCAATTCTCCTTCATTCCTGGAGTTAGCTTTACTTGGAATTTTTAATTTCCAAAAAGTATAACTGCCTTGGCTTATTTTCTCTAACACATATCAGGCAGTGAATATCTGGTCTTATATGTCATCCTAAATTCCAATCTAGGGGGTAGATTAATTTCTACTATCATTTTGTTTTAAAAACCATGATCAAAAGAATCAATAATGAGAAACATGGCAATGGCTCAGTACCATACGATGATTTTTGAAATCCAGAAATAGTTTAACATAAACCATGCAAGAGTGTTTGCTTGGGTCAATATGACACTTAAGTATGTAAACATATTACTCTCTGTATTTAGTACATTTAGGAAGTTTAAGATAGTTCTCCATTCATTTAGATAATTGTTACCCAATATTCAGTAGTTTCCCTCCCCTTTTTAAAAATTTTGCAAGAAATGCTGTTTTTGTCTGGTATTTAAAGATAAAACCTATCTTTTAAATTACAAAAAGCAAAAACAGGACTCCCCCAAAAAACCTTAGAAATTATTTATATTCATTCCTATTAGTTTGTGATTCATTTAAAAAAAGTATTTAAAAAATATATTACTTCATTATAATGATGTAATCAATTACATCATTGAAAGACTTTTATTTTGTTATTACAATCAACAAGTACTAATTAATTGCCAATGGACCCAGGTCAGTAATCTTTCTTTAAAAAAGCTCAGTGTTTCAAAGGTTACCCCACCCTTATTGACCTATATTTATGAATTAAGAAAAGAATAAAATAAAATGACTTGGAGTAAAATTTTTCAATGTATTTACTGTAAGTGTGTCAGTCTACATATCTGGAACTTTCTTATTTTCCCTAAGTGGGGGGTTGGGGGGGGGGACAATATTAACATATATAAGCCACTGATAAAGTAAAATCTTAACTTTTGAGCTTTAAAAAAATATTGCCTAGAAATATTCCCAACAACATGAATACTATGATGGAATTCTTATCCAGATATATTTTATTGATAAATGAAACTAGCAATGAAACTGGGCTATTATGATGCAATTTTTATGGTAATGTTTAATTTTTCCCAAATAGGTTTCTGTGCTTTTAAAATGAAAGCAGTCCCATGCATATTGACAAGTATAGAGTTTACATATAATATACGCTTACACTTTACTAAATAAAATGATGCAACTACTCAATAGCATAAGATTTATCAATAAAGAAAGTTAAAAGGAATTAAATGCACATAAATCACTCATTCTAAATTAGTGCTAAAAGGGTCTACAGCCAGCAAAAATTATTTTTCTAAGCCATTCGCTATATTGTAAATATTAGAAGACACCACATGAAATTATACCTTGTATATTTAGAGAAAGGTCCATTTTCCCAGGACCTGTGGAATTTCCCGAGCTCTCCTTTGATTCCTAACAACATAAGCTTAAGTAAAAGCAAAAAAGGCACACGATGACTCATTTTACAATTAATTTTGCTTCAGGAATGCATGCTTAGAAAGTTACCCAGGATAAGACATGCCGCTGGTGTTTTTATCCGCTAAGGGTTCTGCAGGGAGAAAGAACAACTCACTACAAAGCTCCCTCAAGCAATGAAAAGGACATACTTTCAGGAAATGTCTTCAGAATGACTTTCATATTACAAAATTCTCTTAGTGGGAATTGAGAAGCATTTTCTTTTGAATAAAAATAACATTTTATCTTCTTGTTTGTCCTTACCTGTAAATATGGTTTCTGTACTTCTGCTCCGTCAGATCAGACTGAAGACTTCACTCCTCCCTCTTCTATCCATCAGGCAGCAGCCAACCAATAACAAAAGCCAGATCCTGGCATTCTCTGGTTCCTGCTCCCCGCTCTGTTTCCCTCCCTTACTCCCTCCCACCCCCACTCTTTTGGAAGACAAATCCTTGCAGCTGGGAGAGAGAAAGGAAGTGGAGAAAAAGAATATGGAGAAGAAAGGAATAAAGAGATGAAAGATATTTCAAAGAACAGCTCCTATGAAAAATATCTGTTGGTGAACTCAGCTGAAGTAAAATGTCTTGCTTTGGATTTAGGAAAACAGGGTCAATGAATCCTCACTCAGCTGAAATCAAAGCAAAACACAGTGAAACCTAGGTAAATTGCCTATTAATTCAGCTCCCGCTGTTTTTCCCAGTGCAAAAAATTTATCCCCTCATTGCACATTTTGATATGCAGATAGACAAGGTTGAGACTGAACATCAAGATAATATTATGCATATAGAGTCTTGCAAAGAGATAAAATTAAACTGACTTGAGACCTTGTACATTGATAGATCATACTATTTGCATTTCAACCTCTGTTTGGCACTGTTTCCATTTAAAACCAGTGTCAACTGCTGTCCAGCCTAATCAGTATGAAAAATATATGTTATCCTGAATATTAGAATATTCAAATATTTCAAAATTGTGTGGTTTGCATTCCTTCATATTTCTTAAGTGTTGGCATCAATTTGTCTATGTAAATAATGGAGCTTGTTAAAGATTAAAAAGGAATCAGCACTTAGTTGCCATGTCTCAAAGCGACTAATTAAACTCCAATTTTATTCTAGTAACCTTGGGCAAAATCATTTCATGTCTGAACTAAAAAGCATAACATGTGTAAAAAAACAATGGGGGAAAATATCACATTAGAATTCTTTAAGGCAACAAAACAAATTCATCCACAGCTTAAAGGATGTTAGGTGGAGACTATCAAAGATTTCAAAATATCTATATCTATATCTATATCCATATCCATATCCATATCCATATCTATATCTATATCTATATCTATATCTATATCTATCTAAATTATGTATCTATATATATATCATCATCCATATCTATATATCTATCTACATTTACACAGTATATTCTTACCTAGTGGTCTAGTGCACAAAATTTGTGCACAGGGGGTGGGTGGGTTAGGGGTCCCTCAGCCCAGCCTGAACCCTCTCGCAATCCAGGACTGCTGGCTTCTAACTGCTCGCCTGCCTGCCTGATCACCCCTAACCGCCTCTGCCTTGGCCCCTGCCACTGCGCCTTCATCTAAAAGGACGTCCGGAATAACATCCAGAAGGTCGTTCTGCTGTCCAGTCTAATTAGCATATTATGCTTTTATTATTATAGATATTCAAAATATAATACAAACCATAATTCTTTATGATAAAAGGAACTATTAATTGAGCTTCTGCTTCTCAAGGTAGTCTGATAATGTTTTCTTGGGGAGATGTAAATTAAACAATGGATGTTATTTCTATCTTAGAGGTATCTACTACATACCTGAGATATTTATTGGCTTTGCAACTTAATTTCTTAAATAAGTAATATGGAAATAAGACTAAGAGAAAAAAGAAGAGAAAGAAATGGCAAGGAAATATTCTTTATTTCCAAGAGTAACTATCATGAGGGTAAATATTGATAGTCTAGAAATAACTGTATGAAAGGGTTTAGGGGTGTCAATACTGTTAGGAGGAGAGTGGCTGGTAACTTCACCTGAAACTGACTGTAGATAGAAGGGTAATGATTTTTACTGTGTGTGCAGTTATTTGGAGTAGCTTTGGAAGGCTCTGCTTGAGATAAGGGGAAAGTTAAAATGAAAGGGCGAGGGCTACGCCCTCCATCTTGCCCCAGGGTAAGGGCTAGGCCCTCCATCTTGCCCCAGGGTAAG